TATATATATATATATATATATATATATATATATATATATATATATATCTATATATATATATATATATATAATCTATATATATATCCTGTTTTATTATCAACTTAATTACTCCTTTTTTTTCCACACATGTATATATTTATTCGTTCCTGTTTTTGTTTTTTTTTATATTATTAGATTCAATTTATATATTATTTATGTATCCATACTTAAGTAATTTTTCGTTCTACATAGTCAAGTTATTTTACATATTAACATTTTACACACAAAATAGATGATCAGTACATAATAATAATAATAATACGATGCATTATTACTTGTAAAACTGAATATTTATAGTTGTCTTGCTATTTTTACTTAAATATAAACCTGAATACGTTTCCCACTGCTCCTAAATGATCGATTTCTGATGATGGGAACCAAAATTCGGCAATGACACTTGACGACGGAAGAAAGTCAGTGACCCCCTTTCCGCCGAGAGCGAGCAGACCGGAAGACAACAAACACAAACATGGTCGCTTGCGTTGCTAGCTCGCTTACAGCTGAGTTACGCTAACGTCTGTACAGTTGGTAAGTTGGCTTTTTGGGACGAATAAATAAACGACACGTCGGTCAAATTTAACCGAATGATTAGAGTCGAGTATTGTAGATTACTGTGAGAAGGAATATGGCGTGTTATATCCACTTTGTTCTAGTTTCTGCTAGTGTTATCGTCAGGTAATCAACGCCACCTGTGGATGAGCTCTTAGCTTACAAGCCTCTCTAACAACGACAAGAGTAATAATCAAAAGTCTGAACACTGTTATAAATGTTGGTGTTTTCTCTTCTCTGTTTCTGGTCCAAGCTGCTGAATGAACAAAGAATTGAAGCTTCTGGAGGAGACGAGAACTGCAGCGCTTGAAACAAACATTTGGTAAATATCAAGTCAAACTTTAGTAGTTGTAGTAGTATTCATAGAAATGTCATCGTATAGTATTTCATAAAATAGCATATAATACAATCAAAAAATATTATAGTCTAGTATGTCATTAAATAAAACAAAATATAGTATAGTATGCCATAAAAAACACAGTATATCATTAAAAAAAAAAAATATATATATATATATATCATCGTATATGTCATTAAAAAAATCATAGCATTGTAAGCCATAAATAGTCATAGTTTAGTATTTCGTAAAAAAATCCTATAGTATGTCATGAAAAGTAAAAAATATATAGTATGTACAGTATGTCAAACTATAGTATCTTATAAAAATAGTCTAGTCTAGTATAGTATGTATTAAAATGTCATAAAATCTAGATGTGGTATGTAATGTAGTAAAAAATAATAATGTAGTTTTGCATAAATACTTTCTTTAAAATATATATTTTTAAATCACAGTATGTCAAAAGTTTTAGTTTAGTATTCTATAAAAGAGGCATAAAAATGTCACGTGTCAAATCAAATTTCATAGTAATGTCATACAAATACCAAAGTATAGTATGCAATACAAATATTAATAAAATATCATAAAAAAGTCGTAGTTTAACGTATCTTTAAAAATACTAGTGTTTGTTATAAAAAGTCATAAAAATGTCATTTTGTAGTGTAATATAAATAGTTCATTCTAAGTATTTTAAAAGTCACAGTATAGTGTCTTAAAAATGTCTTAATATAGTTTGTACTCAGTCATGATAACGTTGTATTTATTGATGCAGTAGTAATAATAATACATGTATGTGATGCATTTTCTAACTTTGTCCTTCTCTTCTTCTCTCCTCAGATGAGTGCAGACTTTCCAGACCAGACCTGAGGATGACGGGGTTTCTTCTCTTCACTGCGCAGCAGAAGACGACGACGCGCTTCTTCTTCTTCTTCTTCTTCTGCTGCTGTTGCTGCTGTGCGGTTACTCTGAGATCTAAAGGGGGGGTGGATCAAATTTTGAAAATTTGCTGTGCAGCTAAATTTTTAATAAAAGCATTTCCATAACCCTCCGTTCATTTCTCTGAAAACCCAGGAGGAGACGGACATCTCGACCCCCAGGGTCATGGACATTGATGTCCTCACATAGGTGAGGAGCGAACCCAGGTCAGCGCGATCCAAACCGGGAACTGTGTAATCTCACCATCACGTCACTCACGCTTTGACCTGTTTTCTTGCTATATTTGACTTCTTCCTTTGGCTGTTAGACCTCAAAAGTCACTGCACCACATATGGATTGAACCCACAACCTCCTGTCTTCTAAGCAGTCGTCTATCACCTGGAGCCATCTGATCTGACACTCATGTCTGACTCATGTCTGGTTCATTGCATATTTGTCTCCTCTGTTTTGACTGGTTGACCTTAAGATGTAACGCATTACTGAAGGTACAAACTCATAACCTCCAGTCACTCATAACCCAGCCTCACTTATGTCAAGTCGTACATCTTCATAGAATATTTAACTTCCTCATCTTGGGTGTTGGACCTTAAAATTCACCGCGCCACGGGATGGAGCCCACAACCTCCAGACTCCTGATCAGTCCTCCATCACCCTGAGCCATCGGATCTGACGCGCTGAGCTGCAGCAGCGTCACACATTCTCCTGCAAAAATAAACTATCACTCTTCTCTGTGAAGCTCCTTCAGTTTTGTTGTTAGTGTTTCAAATGTGTGGAGGAAACAGACTGGACCTTCCTGAAACACAGTTAGGGTTTCATCCTTTCACCTCATGTTGTCACGCATCACTAGTGTCAGCACTTTCACTCAAAACTCACTGCACCTCACAAGGAGCGAGCTCATGACCTCAGGTCTTCTGAGCAGTCTGCTAACTGACTGAGCTATTTGGTCACACCGCCTTCACTCAGCTCTTAAACACAGAAAACCTCTGGAACAAAACTAACATTTAAGCTCCTTTACAACAATGAGAGATTGTTCTGCACATTTACAAATAAAACACCAGATCACATCATGAATCATCTTCAACTCTGGTGTCTCTAATCGATGGACTTGATCCCTTCTCCTCAGGGTGCCACGTGTCACCATCTATGACGCTTTAACCCTAAACCTAACCCTAACTCTAACCTATACTAAGTAAACTATAGTAAGTATACTAAACTTACAGTATAGTATGTCGTAAACATCCAATATTAATATCTAAATAATGATTTTAAAATATTTATTCTAAATTATTCATTAAATAATTCTTACTAACTGTGTATATAATGTTGTATTTTATCAAACCTTGTGTTTCTTTACATTTTTGCATGTTTTACATTGTGTACTTAGTATAGGTTAGGGTTAGGTTTCAAAGCGTCATAGATGGTCAAGCGGTTTGGATTCTGTATTTCACATGTTGCTCGGTTCTTGACTTGCGGGCTGGGAATGTGATTTTCAGAAGATAACACAGCAGCAGTGTGTAGAACAAATCCCAGAACAGATGGGCAGGCCTCGAGCTTCAGGGATAGCTCACCGAGATAAGCAGCTGACAGTGAGTGACGCGTGTCACCCTGAGGAGAAAGGTTCAAATCCATCTCTGGTCCAGCAAGGTCCGGTCTGTTTCCACCACCGATTAGAGACACCAGAGTTGAAGATGATTCAAGATGTGATCTGGTGTTTTATTTGTAAATGTGCAGAACAATCTCTCATTGTTGTAAAGGAGCTTAAATGTTAGTTTTGTTCCAGAGGTTTTCTGTGTTTAAGAGCTGAGTGAAGGCGGTGTGACCAAATAGCTCAGTCAGTTAGCAGACTGCTCAGAAGACCTGAGGTCATGAGCTCGCTCCTTGTGAGGTGCAGTGAGTTTTGAGTGAAAGTGCTGACACTAGTGATGCGTGACAACATGAGGTGAAAGGATGAAACCCTAACTGTGTTTCAGGAAGGTCCAGTCTGTTTCCTCCACACATTTGAAACACTAACAACAAAACTGAAGGAGCTTCACAGAGAAGAGTGATAGTTTATTTTTGCAGGAGAATGTGTGACGCTGCTGCAGCTCAGCGCGTCAGATCCGATGGCTCAGGGTGATGGAGGACTGATCAGGAGTCTGGAGGTTGTGGGCTCCATCCCGTGGCGCGGTGAATTTTAAGGTCCAACACCCAAGATGAGGAAGTTAAATATTCTATGAAGATGTACGACTTGACATAAGTGAGGCTGGGTTATGAGTGACTGGAGGTTATGAGTTTGTACCTTCAGTAATGCGTTACATCTTAAGGTCAACCAGTCAAAACAGAGGAGACAAATATGCAATGAACCAGACATGAGTGTCAGATCAGATAGCTTGAGGTGATAGAAGACAGGAGGTTGTGGGTTCAATCCTTATGTGGTGCAGTGACTTTTGAGGTCTAACAGCCAAAGGAAGAAGTCAAATATAGCAAGAGAACAGGTCAAATATAGCATACTATTTAATTTAATTTAATGCATACTATACTATAATAGGACTTTTTAATTCGAAATTTTCATGACATCAAAACATGATTTTTATACAATAATATGACATTTTTAATGACTTTGTATTTTACATTTTTATGACTACTAAACCAACTACTACTAATTGACTTGATATTTACCAAATGTTTATTCCAAGCGCTGCAGTTCTCATCTCCTCCAGAAGCTTCAAATCTCTTTGTTCATTCAGCAGCTTGGACCAGAAACAGAGAAGAGAAAACACCAACATTTACTAACAACACAGACTTTTCCTGCTCCAATAACAGACTTTCTGTATCAGTTTTAATGCAAGATAGATAATAATAGCTTCAGCTCAGATGTTCCTGCAGTTGGTCTGTATCAGGTCTTCTCCCCAGATGTCATCCATTGATGCCGCTTATCTACAAGTGTGTGACAAATAAAAGCTCCTGTCTTAACATGAACCACCTGACAGTCAAAGTGAGAGCCATACATTAATATTACACTTTTACAGTTATATGTATAGTTAGCCTTAACACTGGAAAGTAGAGAATTGCACAATGTTCATTAATAAAAAGACAAAGACTAACCTGAAGAGAATAGGTTTACAATACTAGATGTTGAAAGACAGACACAGGTGGTGTTGATTACCTCCAATGGCTGCAGCAAGCATGTGTTTGTTTGTTTGTTTGTTTGTTTGTTTGTTTGTGTGTCCTTTCAGCCTCTGACAAACATCATAACTCACCTCAGACTTTATGTTGTTTTCCTCCACTCTCTCTCTCCTTCAGTGCTTTTACATTTCGTCCCAAAAACGTCTTTTTGCAGCAGCTTCGTAAAGAACCGGAGTAAGCGCGACCCATGCGTCATCGGGTCAGCTCGTCGAAGTGCGTAAAGTAGCGCCACGGCGGGATGACGCACAGGGTGGGGGGCGTGTCACTTTTTGGGCGTCATCGCCACACCAGGGTCCCGTCATGAAAAAATGTATTATTTATTACTCATCATTCAGCTCGATATCGGTGTTTCAGTGGTTCTGTTGAAAGGATCATCCTATTTTAAAGTGTTCTTCAGTATTCATTTAATTCAGTTAAGGGTACATTGCAAACATAAACTGCTAATAATGAATTCGGCATACCTTTAATGGTGCGAATTTGCCCAAATGTAAACCTGTAGTAGTTAGAAGTACCTGCTTTTGAACACTAGGTGTCAGGCTTCACGCAGGTTTGGAGTTTGGTGAGTTTCATAGTGGTGGCCCCCAAATGTATGTCCATTTATTACAAAAAACATCAACAAAACAACATTAATACTGTAGACAACTTTAGAACGACTCTTTTATTTTGAAAAAGAAATGTTTTAAGTCACTTGTAGCTTTGCCTTAAACACAATCAACTCCAATTTCATGTATTTTCTTCTTTAATTCCTTTTTATAAATCAGAATGGTATATTATGCATGCAATACCGCATTAGCCGCTTAGGTTTTCATCTTCCACAGAGAAAAAAAAATAAACATGAAACACAAAAACCCCTTAAAAGTCCAGATGAAGCTGCTTGGAGAAGGGTGGGTTGGAGAAGCCACAGCATGAAGCGATGTACACAGTTTGCGGTTGCATAGTACAGTACATGAAGTTCCTCATTTTAAAACAGCATGCCGTTTTTGTATTGCACATCACTGAAACTTTGTATACTGGACCTTGCTGTTGTTCCACGTGTCCCACATGGGCCGCCGTCATCTCATTCCAGCACATGTATACAGCAAACAGCATCTCTCAAAGACAGTATGTACATGTTATAAAAATAATCGCCAGCATATATTCGTCAATTACTTTTCTACTGGAATAAATATTTGTTCTTTTGATTATTTTTGTCTCTTTTGTTTTACACTTTACCAAATAAAATCCTCCCTATGAATTCTGTGTTTTGTGGTCGCCTTGAGATATCGGTTGGTTTGAGTTTGAATGGAAAATGGCTCCCTGTTCAATCAACCAGTGGGATTTACACTACGGGGCAGAGTGAGACACAAGCGCTTGCTTACACTACACTACACACTTTTTGCAGTCAGTTTCAGTCCACGAACAAACTGTACGGCAAAGAAATCAACCGATTCTCATGTACGTACTGTGTATATGTGTATAATAATCTGCGCGCTTATACCAGAATCACATTGTGGGGCTAGTTCCTCAAAGAAACACTTTTGTTTTTTTGCTTATTCTTTTGTGCTCTACACGTTCTCACCCCTTTCATCCAGATCTATACAAAGTGATCGATCAGAGAAAGACCGTACACTTTATTTTTGCATTTAAATCAATAAATTAAGAGCTGCTTTGCCTCACGGGGAAATACGCTGACTCAGTATTTAATGTACTTTTAGGTTGTTGTCAGGGTGTAAAAAGGTTCTTCCATATTCTCCTGTGAAACTTGCTCGAATTAGACCTGGGAAATGAGGTCCCTTAAAACTGTGTCAGGCTGTAAAATGTTTGTGGGCAGTCAGATATCTCTCCTCTATAGGACTGACACTGATAGTAGAAGAAGAAGCTCCTCCTGAATAACAGGTGATCAGAAGTCTAAAGCCCTGCTAGCAGCCCTAGTTATTTAAATGTGAACTATTTAGATCGCCCTCTGTATAGATCTCAAGACGTTTTGTCAGAAGAGCAGCTTCAACATTTCACTACAACATGCCGAAGAAAACTACGGTCTGTGTTTCTGTACCATTCTGATATCAGAGAGCAGTGTGCTTTTGTTGAGGCCAGAATATGAAGGAAGAAGCTTAGCCGACTAGAAAATACACCAATTGATTGACTAAATTGTCAAATGAATTGAAAATGAATTTGTTTTGTAGTCTTTTATTTGCTTTTTTTTTTATTTACTCCGCTTTCTGGACTGATGATGAGCTTGTTCATTTTCTTCTGCAGCACTGCTCAAACAAAGACACACTGCCGGGAGAACACATGAATCAGATCACACACTTAACTCAGTTTTCATCTCTCCAGGAGGAACTCCCTTTTAAAAATCAGAACCCATGAGCATCCCCAAAAAGAACAAAGCCCCATTATTCATTTGTCTCCACATGACTCTCGAGATAACTTGTGTTCTTGTGGCTTTCGTAATTACTATATTTTTGTCCCACTAAGATAACAACTTAACTCTCTAATTATTTCAATAAACACATGTTGCTTACTCTCAAAAAAGGTGAAGAGGGACGACGAAGTACGGAAGACCTTTGCGATTAAAAGACAAAAAAAAGCAAGTGCGCGTTTCAATGTAATGCTCTCTTCAGCCAAATGTGTTCATTTCAAGCCCGTTTTAAGGCTCGAACCGCTCATCTGGAGATGAAATCATCCAGTCTTTATCAAAACTTGATATCTTAAAGTAATTAGATATGTACAGTGTATTATGACAATGACAACAAGTCTTAAAATCTATTTAGCAAGCACAGCTCTCTGCTTTATAGCTTTCAGAATGATATGAATCAAAACTTTAACTTTCCTGTGTTGAGCTGTTTCAGTGCATTTAGTTACAAACCGCAGGGGTCCAGAGATATCATCTTTCTGTAATTTGGACCATCTTTTTCTTTATTTCTTGGAGAGATGCGCCCTATACTTCTACAAACATCAACTTGCTTACAGTAGGCTTCTATTTTACGTTTGGAGGGAACATGCTCTGCAGTCAGGACAACATGCCAGCTACACAGAGAATGAACACGATGCAACAGATCCTGCCGTGTCACATTTTTTCGAACGCTTTAATCCCCTAAAAACCACAGGGAGGAACTTCAATGGCTATGAACCGATCGCATCACTTAACCACCATCTGTACCTTTGTTTTAACGTTACACGACTCTGATTTCAATGCTAATAAATGAAAAAACGACCTGTAGTTTGAGCAGCAGAAGCTATTTTCGGTCTATCAAACTAAAGAAACTCTTATTCTGAGAGAACATCCCAAACGGCATCGGTTTCCACGCTGGTCCACATCTCAACAACATCAAACGGCATCTCAAGTAGTATTTTGCTATCGTCTTCCACTATCCTATCTGACTGTCACAGCTATTGCCATCTCTAGCTCTCTAAGTGCTAGCTGTTATTGCCTTCTCCTACAGCGTTGCCTGAGATCTGATCCCAGCACCACCAGAGTCTGCTTATGACGGTGAGGGTCTTCACCCAAATGAAATCCTAAAACTATGCTACAGAAAAGCTGGCCTTGCTCAAAGTGACTTTCAAATAGCAAAATAGTTTTGGGAATGTGAAGCACCAGTCAGATATCGTCTGTGCACCCCCCCACCCCCCCATCTCGCCCCCCACCCCCCCCCCCCCCCCCCCCCCTGCGAGCCCACCAACACCAACACCTTTCCACACAGTCAGATTTAGAAAAATTGGACCTCCGTATATCTACACCACATTATAAGAGAATCCAGAATCCTAGGTACAAAATATCAATGAAGTGGATGCGGAGGTTGATCGTCTAACAGCATGCAGTAAGCTAAATGGTGAGAGGATTTATACATGGCCCAGGGTGTGGGTCAGCAGTCTGTGTGCGGCGGACCTCCCTCCGAGCTGGTGCGATGTCCCGGGGCACTTAGCGGCCCACACACACCATCGCCATCTGACCACTATCCGCAATGAGCTTGCTGACACAGGCGGCGAGCAACGATCTGCTGAGCTTCGTGTTAGTACAATCCCAGAAGGTCCCAGTGACGTGGAGTAAAGGAATTCATTCTACAGCATTGGTTAACGTCGGCGTCCTGAACCTCTTGACTACTCGCGCTGTTGATGGACGGAGGTCGCCCTGCAGCTTGATTAAAAACAAACACCTGAACGTGATTCTGTTGGACTTTTAAAGAGAAAAATAGCCAGGTAGACAAAACGAATTAACGCAAACCGAAACAAAAAGGTACAATTTGGGACCGTCTTGGCTCTGTTGCAGCGTTTATTTTGGAATCTGGGCCGTTTGGGCCCCGGTGGTGACGGAAGTGGGCTCAGAGCCGGTGCCGGGAGTCATGGCTGTAGCTGCCCGGTGAGCTGCGATTGCGATGTGGCTTGTATGCATCCTGATAGGGGTCCTGGTAGTCCTGGTAGGGGTCCTGCTGCTCTCGGCTATGCTGTGAGCCAGAAGACATGCGGTTGCGTCCCTTGTGCGCCCGCTCATTGTGGTAGTTTTCGTCTGATGTCATCAGATTGCGCCGTTCATTCGGGGTGGAGTGGTCTCCCGTGTGGTTGCTCTGTCGTATTCTTTGGCTCTGCTAATCACGTGAACAGACAAAGGACACCAGTGAGGCTGGAGACAACAGAACTTAAGAGAAAAAGAACGGACTAGAGATCAATGCAAAGGACTTTTAGGAAAATAATGTTCATGCCTCTTGACATCATTCTTTTCCACTAATTCAGGCCAACAAATCATTTGGCCGGATTAAATTAAACGTACTGTAGTTTTGCTCATTTTGAGGCAAACCGGCAACACTAGAAATCACAGCAAAGCAAAGTGTCCTTTGTATGTATTGCATTGAAAAACTGTTATCCTGGGCTTCTCTCTTACCTTTATCATCTCCTCACACAGTGCAGACAGCTCTACAGATAAATAGCAAATGAAAACAATACCAACAGCATCCTCATAAGGGGCCCTGGGACTAGTGGATCGTGTACCTGCAGTCCAGTGATGCTGGTGGGGTAGGGGGTGAGGGTGGTGGGGCCCAGGTTGCGTCCCAGCAGGGGGTTCAGGGGCGTCGCCATCGAGGTATGGGTTGCCTTCCAGTAGGCCTCGAGGTATTCGGCAAGATGCTCACAGGCGTCCTCCAGCTGGTTCTCGTCCAGGATGATGTCAAACATTTCCTGTTAGCAGCAGATGGTCAGAGGCAGGAAGGCAGGTATGAAGCTACCGGTAAATTATGTTTTACAATCAATAAATAATGATTTAAAAGAAAGAAAAGGGAACACTGTGAATATAGGAGCATCGCATTAAAACCTGGTTTTATGACAAATATGTCTGGCAGGCATTTGTCAGAAAAATACTTTCCAGTTATTTACGTTTTTTAACATAAGACACAGAAGAAGTAGGAGGCCAACAAGCCATGATAAGCCAGTACATAAGAATCCACTTACTGGAGGACATTGGGCCAATTTGTCAGCTGCCACAAGCTGGACATTCAGGTGTTTGCTCTGGGACTTCCCTCTGGACTTGACTAGCCTCTGCAGGACCTGCATGACAGGACGGGAAGGTACACGACGCTCCAGTTACACTGAACCAAAAAGAACCGCAGCTTCGACTGCACTCGTTTCAGGTCGCTCAGCACTCCCATCATCACGTGACCAGGGCAAAGTGAACGGATTCTAGTACTGATGAGAGACATTTTTCTAAGTGACACATTACACTACGGAGGATGTTGTTGTGAGTGCAGAAAGTCAGGTTTGTCTGGTCATTGCTGTAGTCCCGGTGTTTAGGGAGGAAGTGCAGCAGACGAACTCCACCATGCAAAGATGCCTTGGTGCAGATTACTTGGTGCAGATTACTTGAGCCTCCATGTTAGTCAGTGGCTTTGAAGAACAGTATTTCATGCTGGCTTTGCAGGGAACATTGTGTTTGTGCTGAGCTGCTACACCAGTGGAGGGTAAATATCAACCTGACATGGAGACCGTTACCTTTAACACGACTAGGTGTTCTTGTTGTTTGTCTCCACCAACTGAATGACTCTGTAGGTCAGTAGCTGTGGAGATTATATCACATGTTTATATCTCTAATGCCAAGCTTTACTTAGGCCAGGCTTGACATTACAATTAGGCTGATTGGTCCTAAATAAAACCAGCTGTTCATTTAGTAATCAATTTCAGGTAAACCTGCCACTGAGCTTGTCACAGAGAGTCAAACTGATCCGATCATGTCTGGCTATGTCCTCCCCACACTGAGTACCTTTGGCGAGGAGACTTTAACGTGAACAATTATGGGGGCCAGGGAGGTCTTGAGGAGCTGGGCTGGGTGGTTGATGGTGTCAGCGTCCAGCACCACCAGCTGCAGGGAGCGGGCCAACTCAAAGATCCTCTCGATTTCACTTTGCACCTCGGCTGATGAGACAAATACACAATACAAACTCAGACATTTGCACAGTTCGATGTAAACAATGGAAATAACTCGCCCACTGATTCGCTACTTATTATAGAAATACTTTCAGCTTTCTTGGCATATCATTAAAAAAAAAATGTCGGCAATGTTGGTTGAATTAGTTCCAGGAAACATTTTTAAGATTCTACAAATGTGCCAATAAAGTGAAAATAAACTGAGCACAGTGGGACAGTTTTCTTACCTAAGCTGGAGCGAGTGTTGGATCTTTCGATGATGGCCCTCTTACTGGGGTTGTTGAGAACAGACCTCTTGGCTAATGATATATCTGCCGTGACTCGTGTGATAGATATCCTGTCAAATTGTGAGATAAATAAACATTCTTTTAACCGAAAAATGGAATTTACTAGACCGCTAAGATGATCTTATTCAAGTCTGACAGGATATGTGAGCTTAGATGACAAATTAGACGACGTAAATGTCATTTAAACTTGCTAAAATGCAGCGGTGAGATGATTAACTGTCACATTTGTCTTACCTGCCATCAAACCTGTGCTTGAGGAAGTCGAACAGAGCTTTCTGCATCATGTCTGTAACCTGCATAGAAAGAAAGTAGTTATTGTTTTGAGGATGAAATCATTTACACGACTTTATTAGAAATGTGATTCATGATTTTATATCTACATTTTATGTTTGTGGCTTATTATTTCTGTCTTATTGTTAATGTATTGTTTTTGCTGCATATCTTGGCCAGAACAATATTGAAAAAAAGAGGTTAATAGAAGTAAAAAATGCTGAATGTTCTAGTTTTACATGCCACAAATTGACTGCTTTGATATTTAGTTGACGCCCCTCTTCCACAGTCCACATCTGGATCGTCTTCCAAGTTTAAAAATCCTAAATCTAACCTGTGTGCATCAGTTTATCTACGAGGATAATAGCTCATGTATTCCCCCTCATCATCTGTGTACACCACCGAAATTATAGTACTGAATAGTGTTGTTGATATTCTGTGCATTCCTTGTAAACAACACATTTATCAACAGAAGTAGAAGCACTGAGACAATTAAAAGCCCAAATCTGCCAATCGCACAACATATTTCCAACATAACCTCTTAGTCTCCTCGTTAGTCTGGCTGCAATCCGGATGTTACGTGGGCGCTGACACACTCACAATTAACTGCGCCAACAGCGAGCTATTTTGGGGGACTCAGGGAAAGACGTACAGGACTCATCTCCGTTCAGTAATCTTGTCCTTTTTCGCGCTGCTAAACATCACATTTACTAATCTCTGCTTTGTGGGTGTCATTCAGTGGCGCTGAATCATCGCTATATTTAGTGTTTGAACAAAGGCCCCGAAATCAGTGACATAAGTAAAAGGATATTTTAGATTTTCTGATTGGCAGCTCACCTCATAACCCTTGAGCGAGGGTCCCACCAGCACCACAGGCCTCATAGAGGGAACCACGTCGTACGGGGGGATGTGCTCCGTCTGTTAACGCAAACACATTTTTAATCAGCAGCAGTAGATTCATCCAAAAAAACAACAGACAATGGACCAAAATAACTTGAAGTATTCAGAGCAGGCAGCTGTAATGGACTGCTGAGTCAGCTGACCTTGGATTACAATCAGATGTGTTAAATGCACTGCAACGTCGCGGTGTGTAGCAAATGATATTGTAAATTAAATCTCAATGTTGGAAGTTTTTTTGTTCTTCTAGCACCATTCTCAGGACGCATCATTTTAGTCTCTTAGGCTCAAAACATCTCAGTATGTCCCTCGTTCTGTCACAGCACCACCTCTGTCCTCCAACTCTAAGTCTGAACCAGGCCAGATGTTTTCCCTACGTTTCCAGTCTTTATGCTAAGCTAAGCTAACAAGACGCTGGCTGTAACCTGGCGTACAGAAATGAGAGCGGTATCGATCTTCCCCGCTCACTCTTGGCGAGAAAGTGAATGAGTGAATTTCCCTGAATGTCGCACTATTCCTTTAATGATTATACAGAACATTTTTGTCTGATTTCCTCTACACTTTGGCTGAAAAACACCAAAAACACCATCTTATATGATGAATGCATGAAACTAATTGTACTGCTTTCCCCAAAACCTGATCAAAAGTACTAATATCACAAACGTCACCAACTTACCACTTTCTGTTTCTGCTTTCCTGTAGGAGGGGAGAGAAGACTGTCGTCAGTAGCTGCTGCTAGAGGAGGCGTCACATGATAATTCATCATAATTCTTAACAAAGGAAACCTAACAAGGACAACCGGCAGGATAAACATGTAAAGAGTATTTCCATTGTCCTAAGGTTATATTCACAAAGTCACATGAGTGCAGGGGGGGTTCATAGTCTTGTCGATGGGTTCACACTGTGGTTAGCCCCAGTCTCAGAACGCCTGCAGTCCTCAACTGGAGGAAGAGGAGGATCATGGGAAAATGTACCAACAACTCTACGCAGTGAACTTATGCTCTATGCAGGGACATGGGAAGGGTTTAGAGTCTTATTGTCTCTACGTTGGTGCGCTGCAGGATGCTTGGCTCTAAGCTGGCTATTAACAGCCCTCTCCCCCTGTCCGACGTCCTCACCTGCCGAGGATATGAGGGGTCGGATAGAGGCAGAAACCTCATCCTCTACACTGGAAGAAGATTTCCCCCCAGACTTACTGGAAAAGACAAGAGGGGATAAAGAAAGACAGAAACACAATGTGGAAAAAGTCAAAAAGAGAAAAAGGCTTAAACAGATCATTTACTGCAGAAGAGACAGTAACAAAATATTGAAACTTGGCATCACAAATTGTAATAATCCACTGATGTCAGCAGTCCACGGGCCATAAAAGTACAGTTATATTCAAGGTGATACCGACTTCAACATATGAAGGCCGTCAGTATGTAATTAAGGAGTGTCCTGCATGGTCCATGTGTATTCATGAGACCTGGGTTTTTGGCTTTTTCACAGGAATGAGGAAATGTGAGCAGCATGCGGTAAAAAGGCCAAATGTATGTATGGCTGAGTTCCATTCAGAAGTTGGAGGTCTGAAATTCACAGCTGACCAAAAAAAACATACTGAAAGTCGCTTAACATGATTAATTAGGTCAGTATAAATAGTGCAGAATTGAGTAAAACACATCTCTGTGCAACAGTGGGGATAATAAGCCTATAAATAAATGTTGAAGAGAAATAAACAAGGAAATCCGATGTCAAAATGACAAGCAGTCTTGCATTTACTGTTTTACTTTTTCATCTGTAACTCCAAATTTGATCCTGAGGGGCTTTTCCATTTATCTATTTTTTGAATTTCAGACTTTCCAACATCTGTGGAAGGCAGCAGACCTCACAAAGGGCTACCTCAGTTAGCCTCCGCAGTGTTTGATCTGCATCAGAATGTATGCAAAGCATTTAGGAAATTATCAAATTATCAAAATCATTACATATCTTAAGTTTTGTACCACGTTCCTAATTCCTTTTTTTAAATAAATGCACACTAATTACCTCTCATACTCATTTTTCGTGTGCACATTAACTGTTATAATGCTAGTTTAAGGGACAAACAGGCAGACGGGTGTGCTGCTCTGTTACTTACCCTTGGACACGTCCTCTCTTTTGCTCCTGCTGGAGGCGGATGTTCTCGAGCTTCAGAGGGCTGGGGATGAAGCCGATCTCACAGCCCTCTTTCACTAACCGGCCGATCCACCAGTCGTTGTTGAACTTCTGAAACACCACGACGTGAAAATGAGGAGGAACAAAAGCACAATGGGAAATCTTTTAAATGAGATCTATCATCAAATAAAACATATTCACATAGCAGTATAAGAGCGAATGTTGTATTTAATTTAAAAAGTACACATGTACCTCTTTTATGTGGAGGAAATCCTTGGCGTCAAAGGAGATGGCCGTGGCTGGTACTGGAACATCCTCATCCAGAGCGCCACAGTAGCTGACGTTGGTCCTCACGGCAAATGCCACAGGTTTAGTCTGGTGGACGGAAACACACAGTGAGTGACAAAGAATACACATATGCACCTACTTAGGATATCTATCAGCCAGGTCTCATTCATATTTCCTGCAAAAACATGAACTCGCAGCAGAATGGTTTGGCTAAGTGTCCCAGGTTGGCCACCTTGGCTCTATCCAGTTGAGTGGTGGCCTGCTGCTCCCTCTCCTGGCGGCTCTGTCCCGGTCCTTGGCTCTGGCTCTGGCTTGGGCTCTGGCTCTGGCTCTGGCTCTGGCTCTGGACCTGGGCCTGCACCTCCCGCTCCTCCTCCAGAGAGACATCTGAGTCTGATGGTCTGCTAGTATATGAATCCGCTGAGCCCTGCAAACAGTAACCACACAGCGGGTTACTGGAACTGTGTAGCTGGAACTCTGCTCCTAATAGGGTCGATTCAGCGAGACACTGTTCCAAAATCGAGGACTTAAGGTCGTTGGGTCCACACCTTTTCTGACTTTAAGTGTCTGTCTGAAAAGACAAAAGCACACAAGCTCTTAGGTTATAAAAGAAGGATGTACTGCAGTTTAATCCTGGACCTGCACAGCACAATGAGGTCCACTTAAGAAAAAAGCTTCTTTATGGGACAAATGGCTGTCGTAAGTTGTGGGTGTCTCGGCGCTCTGAATGCAGAACAGGTGAAATGGATGATGTGGAAAAGAACCGACTGCCAGCAGCATCTCAGACAAAGTGGAATTTCCCCCTGTTCCTGTGCTGTCAGCAGTTTGTTTGACCACACGCAGCCAATCTCACACATCCAGACAATTCTGGATAGTGACGACTTGGATCGCTGCTCCCGGAAAAGAGACGGAGCGGATTCTGCATCTTTTAGAGTCCTGGATGTCTAATTGTTCTTTCATGCAATCGTGATGCTGACGCACACACACAGTGCAGAATATCCAAATTCCAAAACAAAGCAAGTCAAATTAATAAGATAGTAAGTCACAATTAGGAGATGTAATTTTAAATTGCAAAATAATAAAGCAGAGTTATGCCACACTACATGAAACATATTCAGTATCTCACTATCTGACTTTTAAATAATTGTTTTAACATGGCTTCAACACAATTAATAGCTTTCAATGCAAGAAAGTTGGATTCTTAATGTTGCTGTTGCTTTAACAAAGTCAATATGTTGATATATTTGGAATAAGTTTAGCTTACTTTCAAGATACTTTGAAGGCCTTCTTTTCAAACTAAATGAATGTCGAATAATGACAAACTAGTCGAGATTGATCATGTAACTTGAAAAACCAGAACATGTCAAGCATGAGCAATATTATAGCAGCAGGAATAGACACAATCTGTAAAATGATGATGCTTTTATCATTCAATTACATATCTATGTATTAACCGTACAACATTTTGGCCAATAAGAGAGGTAAGAGAGGCCCCCACATATGAAAAATAGTATTTTGTGTCTTGTTTAGATATTTCTTTCGTCTCCTTTCTTTCCATTTTCTTGTACACTGTTAGGGATTTTTGTTTCATCACTTTAGAGCATTGAGACGTGCTCGACTTGCAGTAGATCATCCTGCCACTCAGCGAGAATTCCAGTAATGCAACTTTTTCTTCTTTCGCTGGGACATGACTGGACCAAGTGCTCCCTTCTGCTGTGTTAATCTAAACAATCAGCCACTGATGATGATTCAATTAAGGAAGACCATTAGTCTCAAGGAGATCAATCAATCTAGTCATCACAGCTCAGCACTTTTCTTACAAGCTAGCAGCAGCAAGGTCTGACTTCAGCACACTCCTCTTCATCGTGTGCATCCAGTCACAAACTAGAAAGAGTGAAAATGCTTCTGTTGGACTGATGTGTTTATTAAAGGGACATTCCACCAATTTCACATCAAGATCAGTCTACTGAGAAGTACTGCTTGTATTCTGGAGGAGCTTTGTGAACCCCAAGAAAATAAGCCCCGATGATGTCATCGTGATGTCATCAGGGTTATCTAAACTCGAGATTAATTTTGAACAAAAGGCAGAGAAAGATGTTGGTATTTGCCAGGCAGGTAGGATCTAATGGAAAATCATACTTAAGTTATGTTTTTTATGGTTTAACCCACACTAGAGAATAAAAGTGAGGACATCTTGGCCTCTGCTGCTTCTATTGCGACCAGTCTTTTTATAATCTGCCTCTCGCAGAGCCACCAAATTCGTGAAATGTAACTCTGTTGCTGGACTACTAATTTCACAGTCACAAACGTAATTCATGAACAACAGATTCCTGTTTGCGATATTAAAAATACACACGCGCACAAATAAAAAGTGTTCCAATTACCCTCCAATAGTTCATGTATTTTTTTTTTTCTTCATATAAACCCTTCACTTCAACAGTAACACGTCATTTCGTGCCTCTGTGTGGAAGCTCTGAGGTCGCATTGTGACATCCGAGCTACTATCCAATGGAGTAGCTTCAGCATGTGACTCATCAACATCACAATCCACTTAATGACATCACGATGCATGTTCCTCCGAGCCTCGGCAGAGCCTATGCATCACGCAGTCGCAGGGTCAGATGAAAAAATACTCTATTACATGACAAATAAAAATGTATCATTTGATACGACCATGTAACGGGCCTTAGGGGAGAAGTAGGTGATTAACATCTTTCCATCTTCCTCTGTGAATCACTGCTCAGTCCATCTCTGAGAGGTACAGAGTGTGATGAGCACTAAATGGCTCCTCCTGGCTCTGGTGGTCTCCTGACGTCCGTTCTTACAGGCTTATATCAGCCACATATACACATAAAGCACACATCACACACACAGATATGGAGACATACATACATAACTGTAGCCATCTGCCTAATTTGCACCCCCCCTTCACACACACCACCAACACCCACCCACCCAACCCCCTTCCAGCCAAGCATAGCCCACGATCACGCTACACTGTACCGTTGGCTAACCCATCAAAGGCCTCTTATGTGTGTGTGTGTGTGCACAGCTGAGCTACTTTCATCAATAAACACACAGCAAGAGGGCGCAAAAGCAGATTCACACATCCAAGCACTCACCGCCTCCGAGTCTTCAAATCCATGCAGGTACAAATTGTCATACATGGAGGTTTGATATTCCAACGAGCGCCTCTAGAAGAATGAGGGGGGAAAAATGAGAGTGGAGGCGAAGGAGGAAGGAGGGGGCACCACAGAGAAGAAGAAAAAAAGGATGGATGGGGGGGATGACGACAATCCCTTCTCTCCACAGCAGAGAAGAAAAATATTTTAAAAAAAATCTCCCCTCCCGTTGGATCACGCCTGGTCCACCGGAGGCCCGTTGCTTGATGGATGCAGCTTCTCCCTGATCTCACAGTGCTGCTGGCTGGCTCACATTATAGGATGGAGAGGCTCTCCCTGGAGGTAGCCCAATCCTGGCATTTCATTTCATCAGGCGTCCACCCACACACACACACACACACACACGCACGCACACACACCTACACGGACACACACATATACATATACACAACGAGCAGCAGAGGCGGCGGCGGCGGCGGCGGCAGCAGCGGCGGCGGCGGTAGCAGCAGAGCAGTGGATCCTTCCTCAATATCCAAGCCTGATGACAGAGCTAATGTGCAAGGAGCTGATTGGCTGGCTGGCTGTCCACTCAGCTTGGATGAGCGCTCTCCTTGATTTTTTTTTTTTTTGTGCGGGGAGGTAGCGGGGATCGGGGGAGGGGGATGGGGGAGTAAAAGAGGGGAGCAGCGTCCTCCATTCCTCTGTTAAAGCTCATCCTCACTCAGCTTATTTATGCTCGAGAGAGAGAGCAGAGAAATACATTGAACCTGGTTCTGGTGATACAAGGAGGTCTGATGAATGTATACAGTGGATCCATGTGTTAAAAAATGGCAGTTTATCTCCACTTTAGAATCAAATCATGAGGGACATTTCTATACTACTAAAGTGAAGTAAATTGCACCTTGTGCACCCGACCTATATGTTTTATTATTTGGATTTTTCACATTTCATTTCTACAGTTAACTATTCTGGTGGAGAAATACTGAACCCTTCATATCGCTTCATAGCGCTGGCAACTTCAATATTTAATCAATATATTTAAATATTTTTGTTGACAATTAACTTATTTATTTCATCTTTACACTCCTTATATCCAAATGAATGAAAAGTATAATCTTATGCATGATTAACATGGAGAGGCAGCTTGTGTTAGGTATCAGGAGTAATCCTGCTGTTGCCCTTGAGCAAAGCACCAGTCTCAGATATGGACCAGGTTGTTGGGGGCTGTCCACAGCTTCTAAACTGCTGCACAGCGCCCCAAACTCCACAGGGTGCCTTTAACCGTAAACAATTTGCACAAAAGGTTAACTATGAGTGACTGAGTCTATCTGAGCCTGTCTTTGCTCTTCGGTACCTGTCTGAGGATGAAACTGGTGGAGGTGGTGCTGCCATCGGACCTCTTGAGTCGGCTCCTCCTGGAATAAGTCCCTCGATTCACCTGAATGGAAAAAAAACAAGATCTAAACCAGCAGAAACCCTTTTTCATTTGTTTAATATTATGTTTTTAATAAAGCCACATCAAGCTAATACACAATCAACAGGACAATAAGGTCTACTTTACAAGCACACGTGTATTTTCAAAGGCCACAGCACACAGAAAACACATGTAACACGAACAAATGTCGATTATACTGGATGCTTTTATATGTTTGCCTTGCCCACTTACTTTTACCTCCTGACTTTCTCTCTCTTTCTTTCTTTTCCTCTTCCACAAGTCCAAATATAACCCGCAGAGTTAATCTCCAGGGAGTGAAATTAATTATCTGCCAGCGATTTGCCCCATTTATGTTGGAGTCTCCAGAGTTAATGACAATGTCACTTGTTAAAGAGTAAACCTACTTCCCTGAATTCAGAAAAACGGGCCAGTAATCTAGGTCACCATCTCTCTTTTGTGCCTCTTAATTCAAGCCAACAGCAAAAAAAGCCAAGAAGAGATATGAAGGATAAAGTTGGCTATGTCTATGAATACCCTGCTATTAATATCCGCCTGCAGCCTCCTATGATCAATCAAGCTGAGGAAAAATGATGTATCAGTTATCTAACATTCCCGTCTTTATATACAGAACCTTTATACGGGTTTTAACACATTATACACACATATACATCATTTAAATCCTCAAAAAAAACACCTAACAGCGTTACATTTCAATAAGACGTCAACTGAGCCCACTGTGGGCTTTAAAAAGTGTTTCAGCTAGATTAAGATATTAATAAAAGGATTAATAGTACAACATTGTATTACTTTTAAAACATCAAGTGGAGTCATATATTGTATTTCAGGTAATATGTTCCAACTGAAGGACAAATATAGACTAAATCAAACTTCTGTGAACATTTAGTACTCAATAATAAGACTCTCTTAGTAATGTATTGAATCAATAGCATAACGCTTTAATTTATAATCATATTACACAATTAAAAACAATGTAGAGACGTTATGAATCTCAAAACTGTCAAACAATGAAATTCTGATAGCTTCCTTTTATCTTCTTAGAGACATTATAGTAGTTTAGAAAGAGTTTGTGAAACTATCTCTGCCATATATTATTTACAATGCACATTTATAACAACTGTACATTAATGAATTTGATATAAATCATCATACTTATCTCTGAAGATAACACATAGAACAGTGCCTCAGCAGTGCAATTTATTACTCAAACGTGTTGGTGTTTTATAATGTATATATAATATATGTTTTATTATTTCAATACCTACACTTCACATGTGCCTCTCTGCTTTACAATTCCAATTTTGCACCAATTTAGGAACAAAAGTTATCACTATTTATGACTGTTTTTTAAGTGAAACGGTGAACTCACATGAAAGATGGGCGCTTGGATGCCCTCGCCGATCTTGTTCCGTATGTAGATGTGTCGGGACATTTCGGCCAGGACATCGGTCCAGAGGGCTGGCTGCTCCGGTCCGGTCCAGCGGAGGGGTTGCGGGTTCCGGGCTGCGCGCTCCAGCTTCACGCGACACAGCAGAACAACTGTCAAGTCCACCTGCGAAACAGGTGTTGCAGTGTTTGTTCTTGCTGTGGCTCGCGCTGGGAGGTTTGGTCACGCACACTGCTGCCGCTCGAGCCACTCAAAACCAGATGCGCCTGAGTGATGGGCGGAACTATTTTAGAAACCCGGGGGGGGGCTAAAATGAGCACAAGGTAACTACTTTATACATAGTGAGGAATTATTTTAAGATCTTAGGGATACTTTTAAATTAAATTTATTGTAATAATAACAACGTTTCCAACATTTAATACGGTATGATGGTACAGGTCAGACTACACACACACACACACGTATTGCTGTGACCATGCCTCTGACCCCTTCGAATTAAAAATTTTATTAAAAATAACACCCTGAAAGATTGCATATTTTTAAGTCAAGGGTTTGTCAACCAAAAAATAAATAGTCATTTGAGTCATTTCTAGAGGCGATGATATCGAGTGATTCACAAGAAAACAGAGATAACTAATTTTATTATGTGCTTATTATTACCACCAGAAAATTTGAATTTGGATTATACTTATATAGTGCTGCTAGTTCAGAAGCAGGCAATTAGCTCCAATACGTTTTGAGCCCAGGTTATCTACAAAACTTTGCATAATCTTACTCTTTAATTAGTTTCTGTAGCCAATGATTTATTTTTAGATCTGTGTTTTACCCTAACCAGGATATTTATCAGAATGTATTCTTCCCTCTCTACATGCAGTTATTCCTGCACCACTGGCAGACACACAAAGCATAATAGATCCATCCCCACGCTTAATAGTTGCCAAGAAATTCTTTTATCTCAATCACATTTTTCACTGTTAGTGAGTGTGGCCAAAGCGCTCAGTTGTTGTTTCATCAGTCTCCAGCTCAATCCTTCCAGCACTTTTTTAGATTTGTGTTGAGATCACTGAGTTTATGTCTGATTGTACTTCCATGCAGATTGTGCTGCGGACTGAAGACACACTCCTCCTTTAGATCTTGGGAGCACTTAGTGGAGAAAGGCGTATTTATTTTAGTAGCTAATAAAATGAGTAATAGAGGACAATAATACAGCATGAGGGGGCATGCTGACTCTCTCTTTGCCCAGCAGATGGCAGCATTATCAAAGTCAAAGCAACGATAAGAGCAGCTGAGGGTGTTTGAAAGGCCCACTTTCAATGTGCAGAGTGAGGTGTGTGTTCACTGCTGCAGGTCTAGAGGAGGGTGCTGCTGCTTCATGGGCACATTTGCTCACATTATCAGGAAATTGCACCTTTATTGTGTACCTTTGTGGTACAGAACATTTTCTTCCCTGCAGGAAATCGGCTGCCTTTTAACAGGAGCCATTTGTAAACCTGCCTTTTCTTTTTTTTTCGACCCTTCAGTTGGATGAAGGGTCCCAGCACTTATTCAGTCATCTGGGACGTTGAGTGCTCCACACCCGAGTGTCTCTGCACTCACCCGGCTGACAGAGCAGTGAAGACGGACGGCCTCAAAACATCTTTGTCACTCTGCTTTAAATCTCCATCTCCACCTGTTGAACCTGTGTGAATGCTCCACATATAAACACATGTAAACCACTTTGTTCCGCGGCTCTGGATGAATCCCTTTAGACAACCTCATGGTCCAGTATAGCCATGTGATATTTGGAGACCCTGGAGCTACAAATGTCATGCCAACAGCTCATCAAATAAATGAAAATGACCCACTTTGTTTCATGGACTTATGTCTTCACGTGTTCCGAGACACTTTGATCTGACAAATCTTCTGAGAGAGGACTAACTTTAGTGGGAGGATTACGGTTTTACTTCTCTCTTGCTGGCAGCATGGTGGGACAGTCGAATCAGAGGTATGCTAACTTTAACTAATTTAGTATCATTTATATTGATTTTATACACTATCAGTAGTTTACATCCAAAAATATTAAATAAGAGAGTTCAATATTTTTAAGAATTAGGATATTTGGGATTAGGATGTCCAAATTATACATATACAATTTATCTTGATACGATACTGACTGGTTGTGGTGTAAAAAAACAAAATGTTTTTAAGATGGTGGTTAAGCTTTTAGCATGGATAACCATGATATTGGCACCAAAATTGATTTATTCATCTTTTTTTCTTTTTTTTTTTTTACAGTGTACATTATACAAAAATATAGAGTACCAAAAGTTCACAGTGTCCAAAAGGCAGTGTTAAGTCAAATTCACATCATATTATAATAGCACAGATGTATTTTGGGAGCACAACAAATCAATTTTCGGGATCCGTTGACGAAGGTCTTTAAATACAAAACACAACCTTTTCCTGTCACAGCACAGGGTGACAATTTAAAAATGAATATCCCCATTGTCCAGGCCAAATACATACAAACATATTTGTACAGTTTACACACACACACACATGTACTGTATGCTCATGTAAGTGAGTCAGCGCATGCAGTCACTTAATCGCAAGCACCCAGAGGTGGACACACATCATCAGGGCTGTTTGTTTCATGCTACATAACACTGCAGATGGTGAGAAACACCCAGTTCTTGGTATTTACAATTTAGGAACTCAAGATATGCAATATACATTTTACAGCACGGAGTAACTTAAATATTAGCAATCCTGTACTGAGTAATGAGCCGACTACTCTGGGCTGTTTGTTTTTAGCAGTGAAACTTGTAGAAATGTTATATTTTGTCTGTAATTTCTGAATAATTCCCAAGATGTTTGGAGCATTTCAGTCAAATGTATTGACAGTCAAGCATATTTAACATATACGGAGAACAACGATGCTGATAATAAAGAAAAAAAGTGATTTTAAATTGATTTACTTTGGATTTCCCTGTTATTTCTACCACATTACATTGTTTCTTCCAGGATACTTCTTGGAAATCATTCTGAAATGACTGACCCCTAAATAAGCATTGCAGAATTTGTCACGCATAATGCCTTCATAATCCACAGAAATGTGAAAAACACATCTATACAAGCACCAGTAACGTTACCTCGTACAGGCAGCCGTTCACTCACATTCACATCTATGAGCAACTATAACTAGTTCACCTAGCCTGCATGTTTTTGGACTGTGAGAGCCACATAATGTGTTTACACATTATTATTTGTATTCAGAAATGTAAGAAAAAAACATTGTTATAATCCAACATGCTTCTTAATTGGAAAAAAAACGTGTTATTTAGCATTTTGGCAGCCACTTCAGTAAACTATAAAAAAAAAACAATATGCAGACTTGAAACCTGCTTGAGCGAGTTCATCCATCACATCGCTGAGTTACCTTTGTGTTGCACGGCTCTGCAGCTGGGAACGCTGTGGCTGATTTATGGTGAGCGGCTCTGAAAATAGCCATGTAATATTTTTTGGTGATTTATGAAACAATAACCTTAATGTAATAACATCCAGGAAATATGAGCGTGACTGCCAAAACAAACATGCCCCATATGTTTACAATATGAAATAATTATACACTCAGTGAAATCTGTGAACACACCTCAAATAATTCATAAAATCTGCTGAGAGAAAAGTTTGTATCACAGATATCAGTCTTAACTGATGTCAACCCCACACTTATGTGTCCAGTAAAATATTTTACAGTATTAGAGAGTCCGCTGAACCCACCTGCTGAGAATGAGGGAAAGGATAATCCCCAAAACGTTAACCAGCGGATGAGTCTCTTCTCAAGTCCAGACACGTGCATTGTCCAAGAAGTCTACTGCACCTGAAGGCCTGGATACCTGGGTCCTACCCTGCTCTCACAAACAGAGCACCTCAGGGTGGTTGAAGTAAGAGGAAGGGGGGCCACCTGCACTGGAGGTGCTGGTTGTAGAGGCGAGCGTGCAACTCAAGCATGAAAAACTACATATACTGTATGATGCTAAGTTGAAGGTTCTGGAAAGAGTTCTTTAAAGAATGTAATTTTTAGTTCCTGTCGGCACTGAAACCGAAATGATCTGCATGCACAAGTGTAATTCAGGTGAACCGAGCCTTCGAGATCTCGTTTAACTGGAACAACAAGGTAATCTATCAACATCTTGGTGCATCTTTTGAATGAGGAAACACTTTGTGGTGGGTGTTTGGGTGAGTGAAGAGGACTGGTTGGGTTTTTTTTTAGAGCCTGACCTCCTCTCAGCTGTGCATGTAGGTCCTGCAGGGGGAGTCTGGATGGAAGTCGTACTTGCCCAGGCCCGGAGGGTAGTAGGTGGTGGTGAACATGTTGCTGGAGGGCAGCGGGGAGGGGAAGTGGTTGCACGTCTCCTCGTTGACGTGGAGATTGTTCTTGTTTAGCGTCTGTAGAAAGGAGACATATAGAAAGTCAGAAAAGGGATCATCTTTCTCTGAAACTCTTTTCTTTAAAAGGTGACAGTACCTAGAGTATAGGTGTATAACGGTACAATTGAGCCAGCCCACCTTAAACTCCATGGGGATGTACTTCTCATTCTTTGGCGTGGCGTTGCCCTGCTTGTTGTAGGTGAGGTGGTTGGGTGTGCTGGGGTGGATGACAGCTGACTCTGCTGACGGTCGGTTCAGTTGGTGGCAGTAGGTGTAGGCCAGTGCCGACAGCAGAGCTGCTACAAAGAAACTGGCTGAGCCCACAGCTACTAACTGGAACAAAGTAAAGGCTGGGAACAGAAGGGAAGAGAGCAAAGAGAGATGATGAGACAAATACCAATCCTTCCTTTAGAGTTGTACATTTCTTGTGTACAGTGGGAGTGGAAATTGGTGTTTTTAGGAGGGGGTAGACATTGTTATTCTTCTGGGGACCATGAATATCCTGAGCAAATGTCTTGTAGTTTTCAGAGGTGTCAAGTCGAGGGAAAGTTTGGCCGGATGGTGGCTCCAGACAAAAGTACCATCCAACCACAGTCCGGCCAATAAATGATAAGATGTCTTGCCTTGGACTAAAGTCTAGGAAAGACACTCTACTGATTGTCATCGCAGCCAGTGAGGCAGGAAAGGAGGAACCTCAATCATACTGGGACTTGATGTCACTATCTGGCTTCTATCTAACCTCCCCAATCTTTGCTCAATCCCATGTCGCACTGGGAAAAACCCTCAAACAAATGTCAATATGCTACCAACTGTGTGGTCCACACCAGGTGGAGACCAAAAAGCCAATAACTTTGTAACTTTCAACATGTAGTTATTATTATCACAGAAAATCACTTGTTTCCACTCACTTCCACAGCTCTGGTCCTCTTGTCCGGGTAAGATAACTGCAGAGAGACCGACAAACAGAAATGAAATCAGAGAGACGGAAAAAAACCCCACATCAATTTAGTGAAGTAAAATAACTACAGCTCCGAAAGATGAAACAATAAAAAGACAAAAGCTTCGCTGTTCTCGAGGAAGGCAGGATGCTGCCACCTCCGTTAATTCATCTTTTTTCATTTCTACACAGAGTGAACAAGTCAGCACTTACTGTGTCTGATTCAACTTTTTGTATCTGGATTTTTCCAGCTTATATCAGCAACGGTCTGCAGCAATTTACTACACGCAGCCAATTTGTTCCAGCAATTTGTTCACTAAAGCATGTGCATACCTGGCACCTCATGAGGCTGGCAAGGCCGGGACTGGGTGATGTTACCCTGGCAGAGACTGGCCTCAGCCTCCTGGTCCTCATCGCAGCGACGGGTGCGATGCTGCAGACCCTCCTCATCACAGCCCCCCCACTCCGTCCATTCACCCCAATCTGAGAGGGCAGAAACAAAGAAAGCTTGAGATTTAAAAAAGAGAAACTCTAACAAGAACGATAGTTGGTTTTCTGTCAATTTGTGTTCACAATAAAGCTTTTTTCTCATGCACATCATGTACAATAAACAAAGCCTAAATTGAACACCATAACTGGGTGTTTTGGGATCTGTCTTTGCATCCTTATCTCCTAGTTGTATTCCCTGTGTCGGTGTGCAGGTTGAGAAATGTTGGCCACAGTGCTTTGGTCATCATCAGTCAACAGCCAGTCACAGTTCAGCCTCCTTGTGTGCCCACAGGGCTTCCTTTGTTTATTGAACAAAAGCTCAGAATAGACGAGAGGTTGATTACACCAATTTGTTTTCCATCTCTTTTTTTTTCGAAAGACAAAAGGATATCGATGACAAAATTTGAGGCAATTTCATTAACTTTCATCCAATGCATGCTGGGAAAGGCTACAACAACCTCGACCCAAATATTGATTCCCCACTTGCTGTATGGAGGACATTTCCCATCAGTGTCTATACAAACCACATTATTCAATCCAGGCAGGTAGGCTCAATCAAGGGAGGGAATTTATGGTTTGAAGATTATGATAAATGTTTTTGTCGTACTTTAAAAATGCAAAACAGCGGAAAAAGGAAGCTGCTTTTACATATAATCCATGATGTGGCTTTAAATATGCTGACTCACTTTCACAGGCATGTGTGTTACAGAGCGCCTCTTCAGTGTGCAGGCCGAGACAGATGTCTCCTCCACTGGCAGGTGGTGGGTTGCTGCACGTCCGAGTCCGCTGGTAGTGTCCGCCGCCACAGCTGGACGAGCACTGGGACCAGGAGGACCAGCAGGACCAGGCCCCGCTCACTGGAACACACCCGCATAATAAACTTTATTGAACGTTTCCTGCTATTGTAACTACACTGGCCAGCCAGAGAGCTCCCTGTCACCTGGGCACGGTTGAGTGTTGCAGTCCTGATACTCCACCGGGGATCCTACGCAGGTGCTGGGGTTCGTCCTGCCCTCTGCGGTCGAGCAGCTACGCTTCCGGGTTCGGAAGCCTCTGGAGCACTGCTGAGAACAGCTGGACCACGTTTCCCACAATCCCCAGCGCACACCTTGGGGCTGGGACACAGTTCGCCCACTAGTCTTCACCAAGTCATCAACCAGAGCTAAATACACAGAAACAGGAATTTACTTAGAATTAGAATCAAAATCCCTCCATTTTAAACCTCTGATTTGATCTTTTTATTGCCTCACTCAGGAAACAGACAGCCTGTTATGAAACATGAATTAGTGAGGTGTAATCTAGGCCACGTTATAAAAAAATTAGCTAGCCACACACACACACACACACACACACACACACACACACACACACACAC